GCTGAACAGAGCACACCCTACAAGCCCAGTCCCTGTTTAAAGAGGGTAAACTGGGATGAGGAGAAAGAGTTTGAGAAAAGCGTGGCGTAACAACTTTCCTGTGGGACACTGCTAACCCAGGAGATGAAAGCGCTCTTGTGTTCAAGTGTGTGTTCAAGACAGTAAGCTCCTAAGCAAGCTAGCGAGGAAACACAGGGCAAAGGTGCATTTGATGTCCGATTGCACTTGCACAGGTGCTCCTCGTGCTCACCTAACGGGATCAGGTGATCCACTTCACTACACAAGCATCTACCTGCAAGATCCTTGGAAATTCAACCAGTCCCCACTAATGAATTTCAGTTTAAACTAAAAATATATTAATAGATTTTAAGCGTCCACTTAACTAGGGATTAGTAACTCCAAAATGAGCCAACAGGCTAAAACTAGCAAATGTATTATTTTCACTGCTGTCAGCATAAGCTTAATATTCAGCATTTCCTAAGACACACTGCCTATGTGGATACCTAAATGTGAGCTACATCTAAATATGCTGGAACATAAAGGGGGGGGGGGCAAGGTTAGATCCATCCTAACACAAATCATCCATCACTGAAACATAACTGGTTGGCAGCAGAACAGGGCTATTCATTAACATAGAACAAATAATCCTCAAATTGAAAGAAAAAGATACCATTCAATAAATTTAGATACCAGGTTTGCACGTATAATTTTAGCCACAGTATCGCAAAGCTGTTTGAGGAAAATGAAAACATTTACACATTCACCAAAACGGGGTTCTACAGCTTCATAAATTGTTAACAAGAGTGAGGATTTTAGGAAGCAAACTGGGACCTTGGAGTGTTTCCCCTGGTTGGCTGAAAATTAAACAGTGACAAATGGAGTTGCTAAGTGGGGCAAAAGAAAAGGAAATGGAGATGACATTGATATTGTTAGATAACGCATGTGGTGTTGACCCCTTTTCACAAAATGAAACCCAAACAAGAAAGAAGCTTTTCCCTGCCTGAAAGGGGTCATATCGAAGCAAATAATGGCTCACATAGGAAGGATAAAATATCCCTTGTTTTACACTGCAGGCTTGTAACAATGCCACTGCTCATCTGAGTGATGCTAATTAATCTTGAGCAGACCTATCATCAGTTACTGAGACTTGCCCCCGGATTAAATGTAAACCAGCCTTGCATAAATTGAATGCCTCCTTTGAATATATAATTG